CATTTCTGAACTACTGCGAGCATTAATTCAATTGTAAATATCATTAATTTGCTGAATTGATGAGCACATTAATTGTATCGTTGCTCTCTTCAAATGAGATTTTGATATAAACAAATGAATTCATGCGCAAATATTTCATTTCAAGGGACCAAATCCAATAATGTGGGAAATGATTAAATGATTGCAATCCTCAAATGAATGATATCGTGTTAACGCATATATTATAAAGTACAACAGAAAAAAGAATAATTTCACTATAATGTCGATAATCAAGGATCTTTGTAAGAAAAAAATAAGCTGTGACATATTTTCACCATATTTTGAAGAAAAATTAGACATCCTAAATAATGATCAATCAGAAGCCTACATTTGGGATCGTGTTTATGCCATCTACATGCCATATGACTGTCTGTTATTAAATGCAAAGTAACTTTCGATCCATTTAGTGTAGAGACCCGATATTTGGATATATTTATAAGGAGTCTCCATTCTTTTTGTACAATAAAGGTCAAGGTCATATTAAGAGGCCAAAGGTCAAATATAGTGACGTCATCTACTGAATCTTTTAATTTTTTTTGCATTGATTTATTTAAAATCGCGAAAATATCTGAAACTGCCGGTTCAGATTGCCCCATATCGACTTATTTTAATCTGGGTTCCATTTCAATTATATTCTGTTGATTTTTTGTAAAATTTAATTGATAAAATTTTCTTTAATGTGTGGCATATTTACACGTGAATTTCAAATTCCGAGGTTATGTATGTTCTATTTTTACATCAGTTTTTACTCAAATATACCAGTATGAAAATATTTTACTAAATTTTAGTACAAAAAGGTTCTCTTTATAAACAACACCAAACAAGTTTGCTATAGATCAACTGTTTATTTTTAAATATTGCACAATCTCAGGTCTACTGCCTGATTTCACAATCTTCTTACAGGGGCCTGAAAGGCCATATTTCAAACTGTGTGGGATAAATATGTATGGTTGAATTTCTTTCATCTTAAACATGAAGAGAGATTTTGTATCCTAGAACAAAATATCAAAATTTGAACAAAATTGAATTTGAGGAAAAATTTGGCCTATTTATTATGTACTACCTTAAGGTCAAGGTCTAGTAAAAGAAAGGTGCCCACAGATTTCTCAAATTTGAGAAATTAATTCCTTTAATGATGCTTTATAACTTTAGCTTGGTCAAAGAAGTTGTTTCGGGGCATAATTTGTAGGTAAATAAGACGAAAAATCATATTTTAAACTGTCATTTTTAATGAAAAAATAAGAAAACCTGTCATGAATACGGGAGTTTTTTCCAAATCAGACCATTGAAATGTATTCAGATTGCCTATAGTCTCTCAGAAAGCGTTAATTTGTATGTTCTTGGTCTCTTCTTTAAAATAATATTAAATTGAATATACGTATCGGGATTACTTTTCTTATGATTTCAAATTGGAATCCATGAAAATACTTTATTTTCTACATAATTTTATTAGAGCCGTAAAGTATGGGAAAAAGAAAGTTGAAAATGATTATGACGTCATAATGGATCTAGCACCAAAAAGTTAGTCTAAAGTCATTTACTAGATCTTGCCATTAAATGCACAACTCAACATCGAACGACGTATTATGACGTCACAATCAACGTTGTTGAGTTGCTATACATTCAAATAAACACGGCTGATGAAGATCGGTAACACGGTAGAAATATTTCAAAAAGTAAAAGTTTTTTATTTTATTATATCATATTACATTATATTATATCATTATATAATATAATATAATAAATATAATATTACATCATATTATATTATTTTATTTATATTTTATCATTAATACTACAGGCAAGGCATTTCTCAGGAAAGTCTCGTTCTGGAGCGATCCTGTAAATCAAAGAAATCAGCAAGAAAGCTTAAATGATACATTGGAGGAAATCAAACGTAACTTGACGCTTCAAAAGGATAGTCTCCGTTCCAGCATCTACAAACGCATTAGTGCCTCTGATCCTAGACAATCAGCTGCTGTAGCAGGTTATATAGGAGCCTCTGTTATTGGTTTTGTCATCAGCCTCATGGTTATTTTTGACTTTATTACCTTTTGTAAGAAATTGATAAACTGAAAAAAAAAAACTTTATTTGTTTCAAGGTAATAAATGATGATTATGGCATATCGAACAAAATGTGTTACTATTTTAAGATAAATGTTGCTTCTTTTGGATTCATAAAATGTGAAGATAAAGAGGTGGGATCAGGTGACAAGGAGGAGTAATGAAATATGAAGAAAACGAACAGTCCTCAAGCTCAAAAGTCCTTTGAAACAATACAAATTGGGAGCAGAGGAATCGCGGACCTCAAAAAACATAAGAGGTGGGATCAAGTGACAGGAAGGAGTAAGGATCCCTTGTCGACCGTTCGCACCAGCCGTGTGCTCCTTGTCATAAGTTGGCAAACGGAAAATCCATAGACAATTCATTGTGAAAATAATAGTCTTGCAATTTGTATGAAAAACGTTCGACTTAACAATTAAGGAATGTTTTTAAGTTTTGTGTGAGTTATTGGTGTGTAAATCACACTGACTTGTCAATTAGTTATATTTTATGAAGCGCACTAGCGCTTCATGAAAAATATAACTACGTGCAAGTCTGTGTGATTTACACACTAACAATTCACACTAAACTTAAAAACATTCCTTACATTTTACATGCTTAAATGCACCAAAAATATACTCAGTGTTTGAATTTCTTGCTTCCCTATATCGTCATATTTTTATTAACGTCTCTGTAGCCTCAATGTAACGTCACTTTAGCGCGAGTTTCTTTGTGTATATTTCTACGCGTGAGTATACACAAAAATGGTGTTCAAATCAATTCTACAGTTGGCTTAGTAGAAAAACATAGCAAATGTAAATATTAGATAATATTCGTGAATAAGATCATTGCATCGACCATAGAATTTGCGAAATGGTGACTTTAAAGGGGACTGTTGATATTCTCGTATCATCAACCTATTTGTCAATAGCTTGCCTCGTTTTAGAAATTGTTCGTTTGCAGAGCATGCTCTTGCGTATCGAGTCAACTGAGAGACATAAACCCTATATGCAGATGATAATGGTATATTGCTCCATAAGTAAGGGAAGTTGACGATAGAAAATTTGAAGTCATCACGTTTATCAAAAAGTTTCGTTGTTAGATTACCATTTAAGTCTTTTTCTAGTAAAATATCCAAATATGAAAGAGATGTGTCGGACTCTGTGGTATCTTATTCAAGTTCACTGGGATATTTCGGGTCGACATTTGAATGGAAGTAACTGTTGTTAATTGATAATATGTCCTCGATATATCTAAATGTCGAGTTGAAGGCCACAGCAGTTGTTTTCTTCTTCTCTTGTAGAAGTTTTTAAATAAATTCGGCTTCACATGAATACAAAAATATGTCTGCTAATAGTTGGTACCCATAGCAATTCCGACAGATTGTGGGAAGGCGATCTCCAAAAACAACATAGATACCGTCAATCAGAAACTCAAGCATCGTAAGTTTTTTATTTTAACTTCAATTAACCTATTAAGCATTATATTGGAAGTCATTCCAAAGTTTTACAAACATTGAAAGTCAAAGTGACAGGATGGACTATTTAATTATCTGTGCTCTTTAACAAAGAAGGCCAGCATACACCGCTTTCATTTGTGTATCGTGACTTCCGATATTAATTGCATTATATATGTAATATATTTACTGACCCGAAAATTAAGGAAGGATACAAGGCTTTTCAATAGATAATACATAAGATAATATAAAAGAAACATGAAAGCAGGTTATTTCTATTATTTTTATTAACTCAAATGATATTAACTGCAAGCCTGAACACATGTCTCAAGTCTTTTTGACCAAAACCAGAAGGTATCAGCATACTCTTCTATGGGGATGCTTAAAAGATACTGATGGATGGCACTCCCCAGTGAAGATCTGGAAATGTAACTTCGTCCTGTCAGGATTTTGCCGACTTTTAGGAAATAAGAGAAGCCAAAAGGGACAGAGATCTTGAGAATCCGATGGAAAGCTATCCTCTTTAAGCTTTTTCCTTTACATTTCTATGCCTGTTTGCAGCATCGTTGTCAGCTACAAGGAAAAAACACCACGGACACCTGTATGTGAAGTAAAACGTTTCAAATAGAGAACATGATGCAAAAATTTCTCTAATTATGAATTTAAAATTCATACATCTTAAAGTTGCCGAAATTCCATTGTCACAAATTTTCTTGGTATTATCACACTGTACTTTATACAGTGGACAAACCATCGCTTGCAGTCTCCAAATCTAACATTCAACCTGAGATATCATATTGGCTTTAAAAATAATTTATTCCAATTTCGAATGTAATTACTCTTTATAGGCATGCCTAAATGATGACGAGGAAGTATGAAAGTATTGCACTGCTTGAAATAATAATAATTAGTTATCATCATTATAATAGGTAATTAAATATATAAATAAAGATACATTTTAAGTAAAAAAAAATTCCATTTAAGTTAAAATTTCTGAGGTGAATGATAAACATCACCTTACCTATTCAAGTCGAAAAGTGATTAATTTATTGTGCTTGGCGTACAAGTCTACATTAAAACATTTTTTGAGTCATCATCATTTAATGATATTATCTGTTACCTTTCAGTTTTTGAAATTTCAGTGTGAACAATTTAACAAAGTTTAATACACAAAAAAGTTTCACACATCGTTTAAATGTATAATTTCACTGTTATCTTCGCTATCACATATCAAAACACTGATCATCAATTTAATATAAACATCCACAAGATATTTGTCTTGCAAATGATAAAACTAATTCATTTCTTTTAAGATTTACGCTTGGTAAAACGTTTTCATTTATTGATATAACAAATTACTGTCCAATCCACCCCCTTGGAAGATTCAATATTGCTCTTTGATTATGTACATGTACTATCTTCTATCACACAGCATACAATTATGAACTATTTCAATGCTGATTCGGTGTTGTACAATATCATGTTATATGAATTTCATTTTCCTTTGGCGTGTTATGATTTAAATCTAGCGGTCTTTACGACAACATTGTCTAACTGTTTCGCTTAGCTGCAAATAAACTTGATGTAGGTCAAGAAGGAAAATCAATCCAAATGGAACGGCAATGAAAACGATTCCAAAATACCCCACGGTTGCAGAAGAAGTTCGGTCGTCCTCGGCACACGTTTTCGATCGTACATAAGAACTTATTGTTGTCTTGTCCACATATAACGCTTTTGTGATGTTTTCCACTGCTTCTTGTATATATTGTGTGTTTGTGATGTTGATAAATTTTGTTTGATTGTTACACGTCGTCAGCAATGGCGTCACTTCCACTGTCACAGTAGATGGCGCTATGTATGACGTCATAATGACAGTAGTTGGAACTACAGTTGTCATGGTAGCAGTGAAATGTGATTGGATGTAAGAAATTGTGGTTTCAGGAATATACGTCGTGAGATTATGATACGCAGTTTCTGTTGCTGTCACAGTTATGTTAACACAGATCGTTGATTCATAAACGGTGGTGTACGACGGCGTCATGGACACAGTGGCGGTACTTGTGGTGCTGACTATGGTTGTAGTAGGAACATTGATAGCTGAAAGTTAAAATATGCATCAATGTGTAAATAAAAACATCGATTAATATGTCAATTAATAAACAATTACCGGTAGAATCAAGTTATATTTGACATATCTATAACGAATCAATAACAACGAAAGTTAAAATTGCATTGTATTTATATTATTTGCCTTATATATGTGGTAAAAGTTTTGAAAATGTTTCATTTAAAGAAAGTCTCTTATATTGAAAATATTTTCAAGGTAGTATCATTTAAATATATCTATGTAAAATTATGATATTTAGTGGTAAAAATAACCAATCTTGAACAGATCATAATAACGATTCTTAAAAAGCAATTTTGATTTAAAGTTGACCTTAACCGTCTAAAATTGTAAATTTGTCAGAATTTACTGATATGTGATCGTCTTTATGATATTTTTTTTAAGCACGTATATAAAAATATAAATATGTTAAAGATTTTTAGAGTGTTAGATACATATGGTACATAATAATTTGATTGTTTCAGAATACGAGGTAAGTTAAATATTACATTCTTCTAGTAAAGCCACAAAGAAAAAATTACTTGATATCTGGACGGAAACTTTAGGGAACGCCAAATTATCATATATTCAAATATTTGAACCTATCTTCAATTCATAATACCTATCTCCAAATCAATTGTATCTATCTTCAAAGCAATTGTACCTATCTTCAAATCAATCGTACCTATCTCTAAATGAATAAAAGATAGGTTTAATTCAATCGAACCTATCTTTAATTCATTTGAAGATAGGAACAAACGATTTGAGGATAGGTACAATTGATTTGAAGATAGGTACAATTGATTCGAAGATAGATACAATTGATTTGAAGATAGGTACAAATGCAATGAATTAAAGATAGGTGTAATTGATATAAAGATAGGTGCAATTAATTGAACCTATCTTTAATTATAAAGACACTGGTAGTAACAACTACTCCCCGTAAAATGCTTTGTTCGGCTCTCTCTGTGTTCAGGTCGCTGTTAGAGGGAGCTCTCATTATTTTCAGTAACACAAAACGAATTGAACCTAGGTATAAATGAATTGTACCTATCTTCAAATCCCTTGTGGATATGTTTCAATTGTACCTATCTTCAAATCAATTGTACCTATCTTTAGATAAATTGTACCTATCTTCAAATGAAGAAAAGATAGTTATAATTCAATTGAACTTATCTTTAATTGAATTAAAGATAGGTATAATTCCATTAAAGATAGGTGTAATTTATTTGAACCTAGGTTTAATAATTTAGAGATAGGTATAATTATATACACCTATCTTTAATTCATTTATACCTATCTTTAATTCATTTATACCTATCTTTAATTCAATTGTACCTATCTTCAATTCATTTGGAGATAGGTTCAATTATTTGAAGATAGATACAATTATTTGAGGATAGGTTCAAATATTTGAATATATGTTGATTTGGCGTTCCATAAAACTTTATTATATGTATATCATAAACGATAATAATAATAATAATAAAAATAAGAGAGAGAGAGAGAGAGAGAGAGAGAGAGAGAGAGGCTATTTTGTATGTTAAGTTACCGAGGGAGTTAGAGCAGGTATAAGAGGGTGTTTTGTCATCATTTTTTGTTGGAACCAAGACTTCATCTGTCATTTTGACTTCACCTACAAGAAAAAAAAAATTAAGGAAGTAGATAAACTTCATGTAATTTATAGTTCATATCTATTCATTGAAAAAAAAAAAAGGAAAGGAGGACCAGACGTATCTTTTTTTTTTTTATTATGGCTTATCTTTAGAATCCTTGAAAATATATGATGATATCAATTTATCATGCTACATTTTTCCCCGGTATATTGAGAATGTATATTTCTCATACTGAACAATGATCATTATAGATTTAAACGATTATCTGTATCTACTGATGATAATTATGCCAATGAACAACAATTTAAGACAGAAAACATATAATTATGTGGTAAACACGTTATCATAGATACATTCCGACAAAGAAACTATATTCTATGGTCAAACAAAATAACTTTTAACTGGATTAAAAAAAAAGAATAGAAAGACTTTTTTTCTCTCCTTGGATGCTAGCTATAACTGAGTTGGACTGGTATCACTATCAAATATTCGCTATAACTGTGTTGATCTGTAAGTGGTACTTACCTTTCGCGCACAGTTTAATCGCCACTTTGGCCTGATTACTGGTAGAGGTTTTTCTCAAATGTAAGCAGTGGTCACTTCCGTTTGAGTAGGAAATCATTGCGTAACAGTTGTCATCGGCGTCACATGAATTCTGACAGCTGTCTTCGTCCTCTGATTTGTATTTGTAAATGTCTACCTCAAAAATCGTGCTCAAAGGACATACCACTCCTATAAATTGATTCATTCATATATATAGTAACATGTAAACAGTTTAAGGCCTATAAGTAAAAACCATTCAATCTACAGTCAAATTGTCGTTATTTCGAACTCGACGGGAACAAGATTTAGCTACGAGATATCCGAGGAGTCGAGATAACGAGGGTAAAAAACATAAAGAAAAGGTGGTTGGGACTGCAAACTACATGTAACTTATTCCTGGTATTCGAGATATAAGTGGTCGAGGTAATGAAATTCAACTGTACTTCCCAAAAAGTCTGTGAGTAAGAAAAAGCATTCAATCTCATTTTTTAGCTGTCATTATTCTTATTAACCATCATTGGTAGCCTGCGTTGCGCAGTGGTTATAATTAGGGCGTTTGCTCTAAAGTCGCGGAGTTAGGAGTTGATCCTTACGTCGCGGGTCCGAATCCTACTGTTGGATGTGGAGACAGGTCCTTCGGTGAGACCGTATATACCGAGATCTGATGTTGCAGTAGGTTCAGGAAAAACATTCCTCATTGCTCAAAGGCCAAAGTGCCGAATACTGGTCTAAATTTGCAGCCCTCGACCGGCTAGTGGTGGAGTGTAAAATTCTCGAAGGGACGTTAAACAAACCAAAACAAAAATTAACAGCTATTGTTAATATTATCGCTGCATTTCAAAAAATTACAATATTAGATCTTTTTCATTTGTACTTTTGGAACATGCATGCATTTGTATTGTGTATTTCACAATCTTCATTGTATAATGTTTTAATTTTTATTCTATAATTGTCAATTTGTATTGTATATTTTACTGAGTATTTGTATTGTATAAGTCTATAATTGTTCATTAGTATTCTTTATTTCATTATTTATACGGCAGCGAATTACCCATCACACCCTTTTCAATAAAAACTAATTATTGCAATTTATTGCATTAATTTTAAATATCATGAATTGAAGCTGTAAATGTTAAATATACAGTAAAGTGATATCTAAGAGGAAATTTAAACGCTAGAAATCGTTTTAATAAATAGGAACAATATGCCTTAAGTAAAGAAAACTTCTCTAACCTGGGCATCACTGGTTCTTGAGAAATTGGCCAGATTATACAACATTTAAACCAATTGAATGCATATAAAAGAACTCAAAGTTCACACCATTATAGACATGATTTCGGAAAACAAACCTCCGGATTTGTCAGCTGTTACTATGTCTACTTGAAGCTAACGATTTTTACCTTGGATTTTTTGCTCACAAATCACTGCAAACTTGTCTTCACATTTCTTCTGTTTCCATCGGTAGCTTTCATGTTCCTTTGTGGTATAGCACTGATGGTCATGCCGAAAGTCTATTTGTTTGTCGTCCTTGAAAAATACGAACTGCGAAAAATTCAGAGGAGTGCAGTCTACCCAGTTATGACCATAGATTGTGTTTGTCAAACCCATCCACGCCTCTTCATGTCTAGTATGACAAAAAAAAAGAAGAGAATTTAGGTCATTATTTTTCTTCAAAAGAAAGACTATATGACAGTTACGTAAGATTTTGTAATTTCTATTATAATTAGATGACTATTTCTGACCTAAGTCTGGGTAATCAAAATATTACAAAATGAGCCCACCTAAAAATTATTATTATTTTTCTACCCATTAGCAATCATTTGCAATGCAGTAAAACATATCTTGTAGCTATAGTAGTTCATACAATTTCATGTACTTTCTTTTTTGTAAAGAACACTTCTTTTCCGGAGATTTGAATAGTCTTCGGAAAAGAAGTGTTCTTTACAAAAAAGAAAGTACATGAAATTGTATGAACTACTATAGCTACAAGATATGTTTTACTGCATTGCAAATGATTGCTAATGGGTAGAAAAATAATAATAAGTTTTAGGTGGGCCCATTTTGTAATATTTATAATATGGCTACGGCCATCAAATCTTCTAAAATTACACTAGCTTTCAGAATGTAATGATAATTAATTTTCATTACGGTATAAAAATAAATTCAAAGTAGAAGTTGAAATTTCTTAACATGTGAAGCAAGCAGGTTGAAGGTTTTTCAACGAGTTATACTAAATCATATGTTGTTAATGTTGTGATCAAGATCGACTCAATTCACAGTTAAATTCTCCGGTTAGAGATTAGAATACCATTATTCAGTACTAAACATTATCAATAAATTAATTAAAATAATACTTTTAAGTTTACCTATTGCTCATTTAAGAATGTATAACATGTTTTCAGATATTTAATTATTTACATAATGGGTACGTTCAAGTTCAGTTTGTTCACTCTAAGCATATCAAATGGTACATCGGAAACATAAAGCTTATAAGCATGTCTGAATTCAAATCGAAGGAGGTACAATATAAACAGAGCTATACTTATTACATTTTTAGTTTATTTCATCAGTATAAGAAAATAAACAGCATTTTAATTCTCATTCTTTAAAAAAAAAGTATGAGCATGCTCAATGGACTTTTGCGAGAAGCACTGACTTTTACAGTCGACGGCTTACTTTGACATTTAAGCCTGCCTTATGTACGGAGGTACGAAATTGATTAAAGAGAAGGAAACCATCATAGTGGTTAAAGGTATGGTGTTAGGGGTACTAACATGATTAACTGATATGCAATCAATGCAAGAGATGATGGGAGGCAGAATTACATAACTTAAATCACCTTACTCATAAGGGGTAGTATCTCTTTTCAATCATATTTTCTGAAGAAATTAAATAAGGAAGAAAAAACATTTCGAAAGGAAAAGAAGTAACAGTATGGGAAGGGAGGTGATTGAGGGCAGGGTGGATGCCGTTCCCTTCCTAGACAACGTAATATGTGCTTTGAAATGGCCCATTATTATCGTTTAATTAATTCTTCAGATAAATATTTATATCGCATAAGAGCTTCCATATATTGTCATAGTGTAAAAGTAAGCCGTTTATTATAAAAAGTCAGCAATTCTCGCAAAAGTCCAATATTAGTCCGTAAAAAAATCAACATTGCCAGGGATCATAATCGTAACCATTACTTTCAGTCACATGGTCATACATCAAACAAGGCAAATCTCCGTATTAGGAATATCAGTTATATAAGTGCAGATATGGCTTCTTTTGTTGACATACATTAATCTCCATTACAGACTTATTACTAGAAAACGGTCGATAACATTTATTATTCCAATGCAAAAATTGCAATACAATGTACTGATATTCAAAATGTCTGCTTCCGGTAGCACTGACCTGAAAGAATCAGCACTAGAACTCAATGACAAGCAAACATCAGCAAACGCAGGGATATTTCTATCATGAAGCCAATCCTGGCAATGTGTTGGAAATCTTGTATTTTTGGGGTATTCAGACCAACGTCTGTGTTGGTCATTAGCATAAAAACAAAAACAAAAACAAAACAAAAACAAAAAAAACAAAAAAAAAAAAAAAAAAACAAAGAAAAAAAATTGAAAAAATACTCGTTTGGACATATTTCAATCAGTCATTCCTAGGGTGAATCCTTGACAACATCATTTTTAATATTTCCAATAATCAAAGTGAATTTGAATTACCATACCTATACTGGATTCAAAAACTCCATAAAAATCCTTACAAAAAAGATACATAGCCCGATGATAGCGGATGCCAGTAAATGTTCCACCAAGCCTCTTTCTTTACTCCTCACTAAAATATTCACAGCAGTGAAGGAGAAACTTTAGGAGTACTGTACAACAGTATATTCAGGAAGAGGTGTAATTCAGATCCGGATACTTAAAAACTCAAAGGGACCTTTAGAAAATTTGAAATCGCAAAATTTTACAAAATCAATAACATCAAAACGTACGACTTTTCAACACTTTATACAACCATTCCGCACGATAAATCAAAGACCAATTTAAGTCCAGTCTTTTTGACACCATAGACAACTGCTTTTTCAATAAAAATGGAAATTTTAAATATACTTAACTTGCCATTGGTCATTTTCAAAGTTATTTTGTCAAAAACATTCTGATTGTACATACAAGTGCTCTGAAGTTGATATTAAAAAGATGCTTGAGTTTCTGATTGACAATATCTATGTAGTTTTTGGAGATCGGGTTTTAAATTCCAAGAATCTGTCGGAATTCCCATAGGTACTAATTTCGCCCCTTTATTAGCAGACCTATTTTTGTATTTATATAATGCAGACTTTATTCAAAAACGTCTACATGAGAAGAAAACTGCTTGCTGTGGCCTTCAACTTGACATTTAGATACATGTATATCGACGACGTATTATCAATTTACAATAGTTACTTCCATTCATATGTCGACACGATATATCCTAGCCTTGGAACTTGAAATAAAAGACACCACAGATTCTTACACATTACACACTGTGTTATAAATGATAAACGTGATGACTTCAACTTTTCTATCGGCAACTTCCTTATTTATGTAGCAGTATACCCTTATCACCTGCATAAGGGGCTTATGTCTCCCATTTGATTCGATGCGCAAGAGCATGCTCTACTTAAGATCAATTTTTAAAATTGAGCAAGCTATTAACCAACTTGTTGATGAAGAAGGATATCAGCATTCTCGATTGAAGTCATCATTTCGCAAGTTCTTTGGTCGATACAATGACCTTATCAGCAAATACAATCTATTATCAGGTCAAATGCTGAGTCATGTTTTTCATTCTTATTGTTAGACCATTTTTACACATTGAACTTTCTACGAATTCTTCCGTTTGCCCGATCATGATAAGGAGCACACGGCGGGTGTGACCGGTCGTCAGGGGATGCTTACTCTTCCGTGGCACCTGATCCCACCTCTGATGTCTTTGGAGGTCAGTGTTTGCTCTGCTTTGGATTTGTATTGTTTAAACGGACTATGAGCTTGAATACTGTTCGTTATCCCCATATTCCATTCGCTATCTCATAACCCAATGAAATTGGCCTTTAGATGACATGCAATTGTTCCGTACATGGGTCACCCCTTCTTTTTCTTACAACAAAGTATCTGACTCAATTTCAGACATCCTCATTTAAAACTTTTTTATTTATTTATCAATCATTAACTACTTTAACAAGATATAGTTTGCTTCTAAATATTTTTTTCTTTTCTAATGAATCGTTCCAGACGTCCTTCGTCGAGCCTGTTTATTGTTAACCACTCATTCATTTCTCAAAAATTTTCTCAACATATTTTAAGACTTTACAGAGGATACATAGACTTCCGGTTATGCTTATAGGATGAAACCAGAGACTTCAGAATGAAAAGATAGAAAGTCTCTGGTTTCTTATTTATTAAAAATGAAAGATACTAATGTCTCCTCGTGCTAGTCACTTCCTAGCTACACTTCCGTGATTAATTTATTTTATCCTCTAACAGTCTTTCTGTAGTTTTACTACGTCTTTAAGAGTTACTGCGAACTCCTCGGTTATTTTAATTTACAGAACACCGTAAAATGAAAAGTTCTGAACACTTATGTAGGGCTGTTTGAGCTCAAGTATTATAGGATGTTGTGAGGCAGGTGATAATGCAGACGAACCAGACCGACCAATATCAATGCCTACATCAATATCAATGCCTTCATCAATACGTCTGTATGGATGATCATTACTGAGATATAGCAGAAACACAAAATCATATTTCCCTACTTCGGCATATTAGGAAAATAAAATACTTTTTTTCTTTTTGTGGTATAAACACAAAATCAGAATAAAAGATAAAGAAACGTTTTGCAAAGAAAACAGAAGAAAAGAAATGGACTTACGGTACGTTATTCCAGTCCTTTGAGGAGTTGTGTATCTGTTGTATGGTATACCATTTCTGCCATGATTGCACAGTCAACATGGTAGCATTCATACTGGTACAAACTTCCATAGCCTCATTGTAAGTATAAGCATCTTTCTCATTTATATAAATATAATTCGTTACCTGTCCCAAGTCATCTAAAATAAAAAAGACAATGAGGAAAATTATCAATTAGAAATTGAGTTATGGTGAGATACTTATAGTAAATCTATGGATACCTATAAAAATTCATAATTTGTCTGAGGATATCCATTTTAAGTCTGAAGATATTCATCTATTGGATAAAGATAAGTATAAATAATTAGTCAAAGATATCCGTAATTAGTTTGAAGATATTCATGATTTGTCTGAAGATATCCATGATTAATTTGAATATATAATAAATCTGAATGGTTTACAATTGAAAAAACTGAAGATATTTGAAATTCAACTGAATAATTCTGGTAAATCTGAACAAATATCAGCAACGAACCTGAACAAGTACTGAGGAATTTTGCAAAGAATCGAAAGATTTCAGCAGTCCTACAAATTTGAACTTTCATAGCATTTAAAAATCGAAAAATGAGTTACACTTACGTAACAAAATAATGTTTCACTGAATGTTTTCCTTACATTCTAAGTCATGCAAGTATTTCTGATAACACAATTTTTATTCGCAGTCATTTCTGAGAACTTGAAAAGTACATACATTTGTATGTTATTCCAGAAATGCAAAAGGAGGTTATGATGCAATTTTACCATGCAATATCCATTCTTTGAATAATAGCCTTTATAGTACAATGGAGATCAAGTCCTAATACGAAAACCCTCTAACGGTCCATCATGCATTAGAAAAAGAATTAACATTGGTTCAGAAAATTCAGCATTTTTAAGAACATAATTACCTTATTGCCTAAATATATGAACTACCGTATCAGCAGATCTTTTTTTTTTTAGCAAGGATTAAATTTTGGCATTATTAGCGAGGGTTTTGAGATCGCTAAAATTGAATATCGCTAAAAATTAATTGCTTACCGGTTGTAATACTTATTTTGTTGGCATTATTAAATCGCTAAAATTGCTTCTTTTTAGAAATATATACCGATTTTAAGGATAAATCGCGAAATTTGCGTTTCGCTAAAAATTCCACTTATACGGTATTCAGTCGTATTCAAGACGCCAAATACTGTGGAATCATTATTTTTCTTGGGTAGCCAAACTTTTACTGGTTCCTGGGTATGTAATTCGCGAGTCACTTCCATATTTTGTGAAGATAAATAAATCAACTGTGCTAAAGGTATGTGTGTTTCAATGTTCGCGGGGATGTTAATTCGTTGCTGAGGGCTACCCAGGAAATCCACAAACACTAATCTCCCACGAACAATGATGATTCCACAGTAGGCCAAATAAAAACTTATTGACTATACAATAAGCAGTTCCTTCTGTTTTAGTTAATAGTATGTACTAATTTCTTTAAGAAAACCTTAAAGCATAATTTGGCTCTTGTAGTTCTTACCTTTTTAAATTGTTGTTTTGTTTTTGTTTTTTTGTTTTGTTTTGGAAAAAGTTAAAATATAAAAATATGGATATTCAATTTACAAGGACAAAAGACTTTTAAAGTTGATGGCAATAGGTCTCAAATTTATGGGTAATCCACTATTTGTTTTGTTTGTTTATTCAGGAAATGGCCCACAGAACATAAGTTGACACATGAAATCTAGAGAAATTATAAAATACAAGTAAAATTACACTGGTTCTCAAAACAGTAACATTATATTATAAAAAATAGGTAATTATAAAAAAGAATTTAAATCAATATATTTTATTGAACATAAATATAGACACTGTGTATAGCCATTTTCCCGAGGATGACCCATGAAAGCCATAAAGGCTTATTTCCAATGGGGTCCTCATACAAATTGCTTTAGCACTAGTGTTTTGATATAAATAAAAATAAATAAATCATAAATAATTAAATAAGGCAAGATATGTATTTGAAGATACTAATAATATAAAAATAATTTTCAGACATTGATCTCATTTTGAATAAAAGGTGTTTTTTAACTTCTTTTTTTAACATAGGTTTGTTGTTGATGGATTTATCTTATCTGGAAGTGAATTCCACTCCTTGATACCATTATAATAGATAGTTTCTGACTCTGGTTTTACAATTCTAGAGACAAAGAAAATCAACTTACTGGACCTAGTTGTTCTTGTAGAATTTTGTGTAAAATGATAAGATAAATAACTAGAAAGTCTGTTATTGCAAGCAATAGCGTATGTCGCCCCGAACTGGCTTTATTACAAATGGTCTTAAAGTGTATTGTTTTGGGTTTTTTCTTTTAAAAGAAGCTTAAACACATTTTCCAATTGGTGGGATTGGACTACCGACTTGGATTGTGTAGGATTGGTTGTGCGGAGATAATAGTTCCAACAGGCAGGATTGATGATTTATAAAAATTTTGATTTCCTCAAAAACCCTTTTTTTGTTTTATTTCTGATTGAGTGAACATGAAATACACTAGAACACAGATGTTTATACATGTAACAAAAACTAACATATCAGGAGAAGAATTGGATTGTAATGAAGAAATAATATCGCTAGTTTTAGTCACTACTGATACCGGAAATAATTCAACTAATACAAGTGCGTTTATATTAAGATGAAGTAATCGTAAATGATATGATTTACACACACATAACAGAAAAAGCATCACAGCAGTGGAATATAGACTTATATATTAGGGAAACTTGATTTTATTAATAAGTATCAGAATAACTTTAAGACAAAAAGTAAATTCTATATCTTTGTTCATCTGTACAGAAATTCGCCAATGAACTAATTGAGTCAAAGGCAAACAAACTTTCAAGAAATTTTATTTTGGGTCTTTAGTAGATTTAAAGTCGAGGAAGTGAAATATTTTTTATTTTTCTTCTGGGAGAGGCGCGCGTGCGCTCGCGCGCGTGTGTGTGTAGGGGGGGGGGGGGTGTTGTTAGTAAAAATGTACAATAACTTTTTTGACTTTACATTTATTAGTTAACAGAATTCTATTTGAAAACTGTATGTAAAAATAAAGCATAACGTTAAACTAAAATGAGTCATTTTATCATGTCAACGATACTGCTTATAAGTTTTAGTCGCCCGCGTGGCGCAGTGGTTAGAGCGTCTGCTCTAGAGTCGCGGAGTAAGAAGTTGATCCTTACGTCGCGGGTTCGAATCCCTCTGTGGGACGTGGAGACCGGTCCTTCGGATGAGACCGTATAAATTAACCGAGGTCCTGTGTTGCAGTAGGTGCTGGCACGAAAAAGATCCCTCACTGCTCAATGGCCGTAAGTGCCGAGTATAGGTCAAAATTTGCAGCTCTCCACGGGCAGAGGGTTGGCGTCTCCATATGAGTGAAAAATTTTCGAGAGGGACGTTAAACAACATACAAACAAACATAACTTTTATTTCTGATCGAATTATTTTTGTTTATGTTTAGCTCATTTTTAAAATTAATTTCCGCTTGGACGGTTTTTGACCTTCTTTTAAACAAAGGTTAATGACTTTCAACCAGTTTCTTCACCATCTTCGCCTAATGTTCGTAACAAAGTTATCAAAGACTGTCAACAAACAGACAGGGCCAATATTCATTAAACACAATGTATATATATATATATATATATATACAAAAATATTTCAAAAAAGATAAAATATAGGAAAATGCGTTGGAGAATGCTGGCCTTGCCATTTTGCAGTGCATAGATTAAATACGAGAGCTAATTTGAAATGAATTTGAAGGCTTATTTAATGAACAAACATGGGTTTCGTCTGAAAAATATGGACTTCTCAATTGAAAAGGAACAAAATTGGATCAATATTTTCTTGTTTGTTCATTTTCCAAAGTTTACAAAAAACAAATACATTTAAGGAAAAGGAATTCCGAAATACTATTTGTAAAACAAAGTTTGATTATACATTGTAAAAAGAATTTTGATCAATCTCAGAAAAAAATTCAATATATTAACGAAGCGAAAGAGTTACTTTGTAAAATTAACAAACATAAGGAAGTATCGACCTGTCTGGCTTTTGCTATCTTGTATAGCATAAACTAGTCACGTTTCCCTGTCAGTGAATTAGTATCTAATGTTTGTGGCCATATTAAACTTCTTCGTTTTTTCTTTTTTATTTATTTCTTTGCTTTTCTTTATTTTTTATTATTATTGTTACTTTGTTTTGTTTTCTAGTCCTTTTGTGAGTTTGATTTTGTTGTACTTCCATATTTACTTTCTCATTTTAAGTATTAAATAAATTTATCAAATTAATGAAATAGCAACAATTGATTTGTATCGGGCATATTAACTTCCATTTATTATTTGCTTGTATGATACAATGATACAAAATCTACATAAAATAATGACACAAAATCCACATGTAATAATGATACAAACGGTATCAGTTATGGTTAATGATATCATCTACAAATCCCTCTAATTTGGATTTGTAGAAGTTATTCATTGACCCTTCCCTAACAAAAAAAAGTATTATAGTAATCTGTAGTGTCGAAGTTTTTCCTATAGTGAATTAAAGTTTTTACTTTAGTTAATCAAAGTACTGTATGTGTACTCAAAAAAAGCGGGCTTCATATTTTAGGGGCATTTGGCGCAGACAACGATGCGCTAATTCATGAATACCGCTAAGAAATCATTTATAAATACAATATATAAATCACGGACATATATAGTGCTAATTCATGATTTCGCCAACAACTCCATACCCAGTGATTGTGCTAAATTTGAATACGCCAATATATGTACAGGTATAGTATTTTTACTATATGACCATCAGATCGTTAAATTTTATAATTTTAGATTCCTTATTTTCTTGCATCAAAAGGAAACATTACTTGTATATTTACATATTATTTTTCAAAAAAATACATCATTGGTGTGTAATTTAAAAAATAATTAAACCACAATTCAGATCAGAATGAAATTTGACACACATATAGTCATACACGTTCTATAAATAGTAGATGTTATGCAATGTTTTGCTCCATGTTTGTGACGTCACAATGTGAAAATGACGTCAATATGTAGGTGACTTGTTACAAAAAAATGATTGACTCAGTCGTACTCGAGCAACGAACGGCTGTAAAGTCTAACGTGTATCTTGGAAATTCATTTGCAGTAGAATATGATAATTTGTACAAGGTTTAGGAAGACAAAAGACTTGCTAGAAGTTCAATCATAAATTGGATCGATTGTTTTAGTGAAGGAAGGGAGATGGTTGAAAATGATGTTTGTTCTGTTGCCCAATGAAAGCAAGCTGGGGGAGGAGATGTGTCCGTAGTTGAGCAATTTCTTATAAAAGATTGCCAAGTTACAGTTAGAAAAGTAATTGAGGATCTTAACAATAATAGAATTATTAAATCCCTAACATTTCGTTTAATTTAGACTTTAAACATATCAGATAAGATAAAAAGAAGGCGCCTATACTTTATCCACAATGGATAAACGACGCTTCCAAGACAGAGGACTCGGGTTGTGATGGTCACCATGCTCATTCTGGGAAAGGATATCCTTATTCACCATACTATTGCCGAGATTTGTCCATTCCTGACAAATGGACTGTTCTTGTTATAAAAAATAACTTGCATGGTAAGAAATATAAGACTCGGAAAAATCTTTTAGCTTCTGTGATCAGAACGCTACGGAGCATGTCACGTTAGCTCCTAAATCACGTGATTCGTGCATGTGCAGAACGCTGGCAGATGTGCATTTAAATTGGAGAGGACAACGTTAAAAAATAATGAACACTGAAACCTAATTTCATTTCTTTTATGGAAGTAATTCAATTAGT